AAAGGAGGGTATCGAAATTGGGCTTCCAATTTAAAAACCATAGGGTGTTCTTAGGAAAAGAAAATTAACCTCACTTCCAGTGACGGGTGGCTAAAAGGCACTCTAACTCTTGAGAAAAAGACATGCTATGTAGTTATTTTAAACCATTCCATTTCAGGTACTCACCAGCAGACCTCGCAGGCTCGCTTTGCTCGACGTCCCATGCTCTCCCGGGGAAGAGGAAACGCAGTTAAAGTTACAGTTAAACTCAACGGAAACTATTCGATTAAGGCATGGTATACTCTATTTAATGCAAAAGGTATTTTTGCTTTGATATCTTTACACAAATGACACAAATTTGATGCTAAACCGGCACATTGGCTACAAAGCTAATTTTTTTTTAGAGGATAAACACTGTAAAATAACTAAAATATCAGTGAATGCTCATTGGTCCATATAAACTCGCAGATGGATGCATTGTCACTCAATTTTAAAATGTTAAATTTTATTTCACTTTTCGAAAAATTAGTCATGCCTACCTAGACAGGCGTTGCAACTTTTGAGGCAATTGCGCAGCATATATTGTGGACTTTTTGTGCATTCACCAATTTATGCCTAGTATGTACATTGGTGGCTTTTATCCTCACAAGCTGACAACTGGACAAATGGAGTGAACCTTGTAAGCATACGCTGAGTTTTTAAGGTAACCGTGAGTAATTTTCCCAAATCAAGAAAAGAAGGTGAAAGTGAAAGTGTCTCTTACCAATCAATTTACCATACTTAGCTTATATGTCAAAAGTTCTTTAGCTTTGCCATGCAATGGTAGCTTGCGAGCAGGCCATAGCTATATATTCTGTACGATGTGCGTTTATCGGTTGCGGGAAGATTTGAGGCGAGTTAGAGAAAGGTGGGCACCTTCTCTTCTTTGATTACACGACATCAAATCTCCGCCAGGTTTATCGCCTTTTTTGCAGGGAGGTTGGCAAGTTTACGTGCTCAAAATTTCGCGCTCTTAATAATTAACAATTATTGGACGAGGTTGAGCAAAATATCGTGATCATTCCGTGGCGAGCAGATCAATTATTTGCCGAAGCCGAGGGCCTCGGCAAATAATTGATCTGCGAGACACTGACAAATCAAAATATTTTCCGATAACCGAGTTCAGTAACTGTTTTATCATTTGATAACCGAGTTTCTTTCCAATTCTTTGGGGGAGACGGCAAGCGCGCACTGCTGCTAGAAATTAGATGGTTTCCTTCTCAGCTAAATAATTTATTCTGTCGACTTTGAATTGAAAGTACAGTCAGCTGTTAATTAACAAAATGTATGCCTTCAAATGGCTGAAACTTCCAGGAACAGGTTCACAGACTTCAAGGATTTGAAATCCGAAATAAAAAGCTCAGGGAAGCAATCGCGATCTGCCATTTCACACAAGAGCGACACCAAGAGCGACAACAAGAGCGACCACACGAGCGTGGTTACTATTGCGCATGAGCAGAATATTATTTGCAGCAAAAATGGAGTTAAACGGTAGTACGCATGAGCAGCTCATTATTTGTAGGCAGTTATTTGCAGGTCACGTGGGGGGCTCCCAGCCAATGAAAATGGGGGAAAAATCCATCAAATGATAATGTGAAATACCTGTGCAGTTATATTCAACACCTCTGAAACCAGGATTACATGAGCAGTTGAACGTTCCCTTGCTATTAGAACAAGTGGCGTTGTCCTTGCTACAATTGTGGATATTTTCGGCGCACTCGTCGATGTCTGAAATAAAGCAACAGTTGTGTTTAGTGTCGTGACAAACAAAAAAATTACGAGCAGAGGAGCGATCCCTCGATATTTTTGCAAGTGGCAACGTCCTAACTGCAGCTATGGGTATCGCTAAGACAGTCATCAATGTCTGAAATGGAATCAACGGACCATACTCATACACTGAGGTTCCAGAGATAAAAGGGAGGAGGAAGTGCTCCAATATAATAGCATCATCTTGATTGTACTTGTCTCAGGTATTTCTACAAGTTTTTATGGGACGATATGACAAAGCGTTATGTTATGAATACTATTCGGAACCTGTGCATTTGTTTCCGTCACCACTGAATCCTGGTTTACAAGAGCACTTGAATGATCCCTTAGTATTGTTACAAGTGGCAGTTATATTGCTGCAGTTGTGGCTGTTTTGAGAACACTCGTCGATGTCTGAAATTAAATCATCAGCCCTCATCAATTACAGTATTAAAGAAAAACAACGACGAAGGTATCGAAATTGGGCTTCCACTCTGAGTGTGCTCTAAAGAAAAGAAGCTTTTAACCTTACACTTAATGTCAGAGGTGTGGTGGCTTCATATTTAGTGTGCTCGACTCTGACTCTCATGGTGCCTTTCTTCACCCAGGTGTTTAAATGGGTACCGGCGAATTTGATACGGGGGGGGGGGGGGGAAGAACTTTATGGGATAGCCTTGCATCCCATTCATGGGGGAGTAGAAATACTCCTGGTCGTTTCATGCTATGGACGCCGGAGTTAAGTGCTGCTCTGATGAACCAATTGGCTCGTGAACAGACTTTACCTTAACAATGGAGTGTGGCTCAAACTCATTCTAACCTCAAAGAAGAAGACATAAATGTACGTATCTTATATTATGTCATGTCAGGTACTCAGTACTTACGTTTGCAGCTAAAATGCTATTATTATGCATCGAGTAGTTCTGTTTATATCGTTCAGGGTCCTTCTTAAGCAGAAATGAAAACATATGGAACTATATCTGTTTAACAAGATCATGCTCTGCTAGTTTATACCTTGGCATTGATGTCCATCCCCGCTGAATCCAGGAATACAAGAACAGTTGTAAAATCCCTCGGTATTTGTACAGTTGGCGTTCTTGCTGCACTTGTGGGTTTTTTGATCACACTCGTCGATGTCTGAAATGAAATCATGTGACCATAACAATGAGTGTTATCTTCAAAGCAAGGAGGTGGGTGGGGGAGGGGAGTTGCTAATTTGCAATGGAAAACCGACTCTGCCGCATGTTAATCCAGTTCCGCAGGGAGAAAGGCTTAATATTTGAAACCTGATGCTTATAATTAGGATTTTGAAACGCGTATTTCTACCATAGGCTAGTTAGGAGTAGGCATCATGCTCTGATCAATGCTTATTAGAAATAAATACCTGTGCACTTGTCTATATCCCAGCTGAATCCAGGATTACAAGAGCAGTTGTAAGATCCCTTGGTGTTTGTGCAGTTGGTGTTCTTGCTGCAGCTGTGGGTTCTTGTAGCACACTCATCGCTGTCTGAATTTGAATAAACGAACCGTACCCATGATTGTTATTATCAAAACAAGGAGGCGATGGAGAAGGGGAGTTGCTAATTTACAAAGGAAAATCGCTTCTGCCGCATGTTAATCCAGTGCTGACGGGAAAAGGGCTTATTATCCTAAATATGATAGTCGAATTACCTCATATTTAGGATTAGGAAACGTTTTTTTCTACCATAGGTTAGTTTTGGACTAGCCATCATGCTCTGAACAATGCTCATTACTTGGGTAATTGTCAATATCCCCGCTGATATCAGGATTACAAATGCACTTGAATAATCCTTTGGTATTTTTACAAGTGGCATTTTTATTGCTGCAGTTGTGAGTAATCATAGCACACTCGTTCATGTCTGAAATAGAATCGACTGATCTTTCACCAAAATACTTAAGAATTAAGGTCGCAAGAGGGGAACTAATGTAAAGAGTTTTGCTATTTGTCATTAGATGCGTGTGACGAAGCTAGCGAGTGAAAAGTGGTGGTTCTGCGAATAGGAGAGTTTAAATCCATTGCTTTACTTTTCCACTGAATGCCTCAAATAGGTTGGTCCTAATGGAGGTGGCTTGAGCTCTTACAGATGTCAAACGACTGCACTGAGAGATATCTACAGAATAATACATGAATGCACGTGAGACTGCAACTTGAAAAGGAGAGGACGGTCTTTAAAAAAGAAAACGGATTTTATAACCAATGGGGCTGGCTTTAGTTCATTCCTGTTCACTCTAAACAAGACACCATACCCAGATATTCGAAAAAGAAAAAGATAATGAAATTGCGCCCCTGCCCTCCTTTTCCTCCACTAAGTCACATTTAACACGTGAAATAAGTACAGCCGATTTTGAATCTTAAACCATCCGAAGAAATGGACCACTGTGTTTTAATCAGTTACAAAGTTGATTTTTATCATTTTAAGTCTTACCCTCTTCACAATCGTGGCCAGTAAATCCAGACGCACACAAACATCGATATGGTTTTTTTGTAAATCCCGACTGGCAAGTGCCGTTGTTTTGGCATGGTGATCCATGGCAAAAATTCTTAAAAGAAAAAAAAAGCATGTCACAAGTAGTTGTCCACTATCTTCACAGCCTTCTCCTACATTTCGCCGAGAACTTGAGCGCGAAAAAATAAATCGGGAAGGGGCGTCTTTGGACAGGATTTAAAGAGTAGAGTGACGTTCCTAAGAACGGCACTTAGTAACTCCTGTCGTAGCTCAACTCTGTCATTATGTCCATAGTGGTGAGCATCTTCTGAGCCATTTGATGGATCTAATTATTTCGATTGTTTTTAAACTTCGAAACCGATGGAATAAAACTGCCTTTTGCAGATATACCTTAAAATGACCATTACACTTACCTTTACTCACAAGAATTTTCTTATTAGAAGCAAGGTTGTAATTGTCTTTGTTAGAAAAAAGAGATTGATCAATTGTTTACTCAAAGCTGGTGAGCATGGTTTCTAAAATGAATACGACAAATTACTTGCTACTGTTAATAGAGTTAGGTGTCCTCAAGGCACTGAGAGGATTTTTGTTTGTGGTGACTGCTTATTTACAAAAGATCCGTAACGACGCTAGCACGCGGTTAAAATTATGTAAAAATAAGAAGTAATGGATGAAAGTACCCCTCAGCTCTCA